CCCCCCCCCCCCATAAATGACTACAACATGCCAAGTTATGTATGCTAGCAGTAGTTTTAAACCTATTATTTTCTTGTTCATAGGGATCTGGGCAGGGAGCATTTTGTTACATTGTAAATGATCTGCTTTAGTAAGTACCCAGCAAATAATATTACGAATAGATTGTTATATTTAGTGCATTCGCATAACAGCACAAGGAAGGAACCGGGGAAGAAGTGCCAGAATGATGGGTTAGGAGCAGCGTTTGTGGAGCATTAACCATTGTAAGCCTGTACCATTCACAATAAAATGGGATAGATAATAAGTAGTTTGTGGGTTCTTAGAATTAAGTGACAGGGTCAGCGGGATGGCTCAGCAGCTGAAGGCACTTGCAGCCAAGCCTGGTGACCTGAGTTTGATCCGTGGAACCCAACTGGGATTCTCAAAAGTTGTCCTCTGACCTTCATATGTGCACCCCCCCATAAAGTGAAATAGTAATAAATAAATGTAAAAAATAAAAATAATGAAAATAAAAAAGAATTACATGAATTAACTCAGATAACTCTGCTGTGTAGTTAATTATAAAGAAATGCAGGTTGCCTTCTCAAAATTCTGAGTGCCCATCTTCACGCAGTGCATTATGCATTCGGGTTCCTCTTTGATTCTCATTGTTAAAGGGAATCTAAGTCCAAAGTATCTTGCTGGCAGTGGGTGGAAGAAATGGAGGATGGTGTTGAAGAGAGAAATTACCAGGTAGGGGAATCAGAGAATCTGAGTGAGCTGGATAACTTTAGTTGTCAGCTTGGCACACCTGGGTGGAGGGAGCCTCAACTGAGAAATTTCCTCCATTGGATGGGACTGTGCTCATGTCTGTGGAGCATTTTCTTGATTGTTGAGTGTGGGGAAGGGCCCAGCCCACTGTGGGTGGTACCACCCCAGGGCAGGTGGTCCCTTGTTATATAAGAGAGCTGACTGAGCACAGGCCAGGGGAACAAGCCAGTAAGTATCATTCCTCCATAGTCTGTGCTTCAACTCCTGCCTCCAAGTTTCAGCCCCAAGTTCCTGCCCAGGCTTCCCTTAATGATGAACTGTGAGCTGGGAGATGTAAGATAAAATAAGTATTTTCCTCACCAAGCTGGTTTTGGTCAGTGTTTTTATCACAGCAATAAGAAAGAAACCAAGACACTGAGCAGACTTTCATCGTGGGCATTTCATTTTCCTCTATGTCCATTGGCTTATTTCTTCATTCTTACAGCCCCCTATTACTTCCAGGAACAGGGCAATTTTATTAGAGCAATTTTATATGGCTTCCAAACCTGTTTTTCTCTCTCGCTCTTTCTTTCATGTGTATGCGCACAGGTACATGTTTGTGTATGCAGGTGTACTTGCCAGTGTGCCTACATTATGAAGGCCTGAGAAAAACCTCAGTTATCATTCTTAGGAATGCTGGTCACCTTCTTTGAGACAGGGTCTCTAATTGGCCTGAAGCCTACCAATCAGGCTAGACTGACTGACCATCAAGCCCCAGAGACTCCCCTGTCTCTGTCGCCCCAGCTCTGGGATTACATCTCAGGTACTACCCACACCCGACATTTTTATGTAGGTTCTGGCGATCAAACTCAGGCATTCTGGATCCTCGTGCTTACAAGGCAAGCATTTTGCCAACTGAGCCATACTTCTAGTCTCCAGATCTGCTCTTCTGTCCAATCTCTTCATCCTGACCAATATGACTGTTCGTATAAGTACATTAAAAGCATGTTAGTTTTAAAACATAGCAGATCTCTAAGCTGACTTTATGGATCAATATTCTTTAGAGGCAGGTGTAGTGATTCAGATAAACCAGCACGAGCAAAAACAGTAAAATTATCATTGGTCTATATAACTGGAAAAATCCAGTCAGGGACAGGCTGAATCAATTGTTTTATGCCTAGATTTTCTTTGTTTAGCTTTATTCCTGGCAAGCTCTTCCCATACAGTAGCCATTTACATCAGGGTTGTACACTTATATCTTAGAACCAACTTAGTGGAAAGAGTGTGTTATTTACTAATCGTTCTAGCAAAATCTAGGGCCCAACTAGACTGTTCTGATTGTCACTTGACTAATGCCACTAATCAATCATGCTGGTCCTGAGTCACTTCTGAATTCAGGGACAATGCTTTGTCCAAATATGTGGGTGTAGAGTAAGGAAGTAAGTACCCTAGCCAGACAAAAATTAGACTGCTTATGCCAGAGTGGGGAACCAGTACTGTCTAGCAAAGTAACAGCTGTCCACCACTCTGATATCAACAGCTTTACTTCTACCATTATCATCGTGCCCTCAGCACAGGCACTGGCTCCTCACAGGATAGTATAGGGCTTCAGTAGCACTTTCATTTGTTTAAAGATTTTATTTCAAGTGTAGAGTGTTTTGTCTGCTTGTATGTGTGTGCACTGTGTCTATGCAGTGCCCTCAGAGGCCAGAAAGAGGCACTAAATCTCCTGGAGCTGGAGTTAAGGACAGTTGTTAACTGCCATGTGGGTGCTGGAAACTGAACCTGGGTCCTTGAGATAAGGTCTCAAGTTCCAGCTGGCCTGGAACTCACTCTGTAGACCAGGCTGACCTCAATCTCACAGAGATCCACCTGCCTCTGCCTCCTGAGTGCTGAGATTAAAGGCTACTATCACTTTTAAACCATGTCTTGAATTAAGTGTGTTAGAACTACAATTTCACCAACACAAAGTCCCCAGTATTCGGACAGTATAATTTTTTTATAGTAAGTTTTAGGTAGATGCTTTTAACTGAAGATTTTTTATTTTATTGCAATACACGCGCCTTCAATTATAATATTCATGCAAATAGCATAGCAGATGGTAGTGGCACTTTTAATTATCAGCTGATAGAAAATCTGGTGTCCTAAACAATACCATGTAAGCAGGTGGTATATAGTCATAGATGTCACTGTTATTTTTAAAAACTAACAGGAATTAGTAATAATCCATCTGGATAAAGTCATTTCTTCCAAATCTTCACCTAAAGAAAACCATGCAGCTGGAGAGATGGCTCAGTGGTTAAGAGCACTGGCTGCTCTTGCAGAGGACCCAGGTTCAATTCCCAGCACCCACATGGTGCTTAACTACTGACCATAACTCCAGTTTGAGGACATTTGATGCCCTCTTCTGACCTCTGTGGGCACTGCATGACATGGGTGCACCTACCTGCATGTAGGCAATACACTCATACACATAAAAATAAAAATAATAAACATTTTTTAAAAAAGAAAAAAAAAAGGTTTTTAGTTCATTATTCAATTTACTTTTTAGTTCATTATTTAACCTGGAGAATTTATTTCTTGAAAGCCTATTAAACTGATGCCTTTTGTGCCCATTTGCTCATCCATCCCAGGGTGCTCCTGCCCACCTACTCCATTCTCTCTCATCTCTGCTTGTTCTTATTGGTTCATGAAACTATTTAACCTCTCCTCTTAGTACCAGGCATGGTAACAAGGAATATTTAAGTCAGGTCTCTGCAGAGAAGAGCCTACTTTCTAGTGGGAAAAGTGCAGAAACTAGTAATTCCACTTGAGAACAATAGAAAGGGCAGACGATGCTGTGGGAGCACTCAGTTGGGGGAGCTCTCCTCCTCCCAGGCGTTTGAGAATGCCTTCTGCAGGAAGTTGCATCCAAGCTGGGACTGATGTGTGAGTCTCAGAAATGGCAGAGACCTGGGCTGAAGAGAGGATGTGGTGGAAGCTGGGGTAAAACCAGGGTATTTGAGAAATAGCTGCAGCCCACAGCTCAAAGGTACAGTGGAAGAGGCTGAACAGAGCACAGAATCCAGCCTGTGGAAGACTTAACAAGCTAAGATAAGGCTCAGTTTTTGTTACTCTAGGGCATCTGATCAGAACATGAATGGACTTTACCACAAGCTGTGCAATGCAGTCAGATTTACTGGGTCAGATTTACATACCCCAAGAAGGGTGTGATGGTCCTGTATGTGATCTAGACATTGTCACTGCACTGACCTGAGGGTGTTCAAGTTGTCTTGGTAACCCTCTGTAATCCTCACCCTAGACCTCAGGCTCCTGAAGGGCAGGGATTATGTAATTTCTCCTGGATTGCCATCTCCTAGCTCTGGGCAGGTCTCAGGTGTGCTGTGTGTTTTCTCTTCAGGCTCCATAATTTTGCATTTACTCTTACCTGTGTATAGAATGCCCTTTCCCACTTGTCCACTTGGTCCACCTTCCCTGTAACCTCCAAGAAACATGCCCATAAGATCTTGGAGCTACCACCCAGAGTGCTTATCAAATTGCTATCAGCTCCAGGCCTCTCTCTTCCTTGAGCATGGATCCTGTTACTGTTTGTAATTTTAGTGCTTAGCAGGATGCTGTGACGAAACCTGCTTGGAGTAATACTGTGGTGAGGAGAAAGGCTGTCTTCTCCCCAATAGCCAGTGCATCATAGGAATGGAGCACAGAGAGGAAAATTATAGAGGAAGAGGAGAAATGGAAACACATCAGTGCATCATACAAGTAGAAAGGGCATGTGGCAGATAATAGTAACAAATACCATAGAAAAAGAAAGGGCTCTTGAATTTCTGTGTGCTTGATGGAATATGACGATGACTAAAATACAGACTTCTTTTCTCTCTTTCAGTCAGCAATGAATGTGGATCATGAAGTTAACCTCCTAGTGGAGGAAATTCAACGTTTGGGTTCAAAAAGTAAGTATTCTAACACAGAGTGCTGCTTCTGAGTTTTCGTCAGAGCAGATAGGACTGGCATTCTGGAGAATCCTATATCAGGGTCACACAGGACTTCAGGACCAGTAACAGCCACTCTGCCCACAGTCTGAGGTGGTAACTGCTCTAAGCCATGAGGGCAGGGTTTGTTGGGGCATCAGGTTTTTGAGGCAGAGAATAGCTGGGATGCTTTATTACCCTTTGGAAAGAAAATCACTGGGCTTCTTTTATTTGATTGCATTAAATCTGGTGTTTTAGTGTGAATGGTGGCACATGCCTTTAATCCTAGCATTCAGGATGCAAAGGCAGGCAGATCTCTGTGAAATCAAGGCCAGCCTGGCCTACATAGAAAGTTCCAGGCCAGCTGGGGCTACAGGGATATCCTGTCTCAAAAACCAAAAAGCATAACAAAACAAAAATCTAGTCTTTTAACGTTGATTTTTTTTGTTTTTTAAATTCCCATTTTCAACTTAATACTGCCACTGTTTCAAAAATTTGCAAATGACTAGAAACTTAGATTGAAATTACACTCAATTGTCTTTGTTTTCTTTAAGTTCTTGGAGTTTATACCATTACAAATATAAAAGTAAAATAAAGCAGCTTTTAGGTATTCTATTAAAAGGAGTCTTTTTCTTCAATGGCTAAGCAGCTATTGTAAAGACAGTGATGTGTAAAATTGGTTGTATTAGTGTCGTTTTCCCAAGTTGTACTGAGACTGTTGTAGCATGAGGTATTTGCTACACCCGAGATAGTGGAAGAATTGGGGGAGCATTTTGAAGATAGTAAGAACAATACACATATTCAGAAGCGACTAGAATAACAGAACTCAAAGTTTTAAAATTGTTGTAAATGAAAAATAGCTTTTAAAAGTATCTCATAAAAGTTGCTTTGTTTTACTACTGGGAGTAGTGGTACATCCTGTAATCTCAGCACTCAGGAGGTGGAGGCAGAGAGATCATGAGCTGGAAGCCAGCCTGGTCTCTACAATGAGACCCTGTCTCGAAAAACATATATATTGTAATATCATTGCTTGATTCTTCTTAGAGTGGTTTGCTTATGAATCACAAATCCTTTGATATACTAGGATAGACCCACTTTGAAAATTCCATTAAGCTGTTAATCCCACTACCCCTTGCATTTATTTTTCTTTCTTCTTTTCTTTCCTTCTTTCTTGCTTTCTTTTCTTCCTTCCTTCCTTCCTTCCTTCCTTCCTTCCTTCCTTCCTTCCTTCCTTCCTTCTTTCCTTCCCTCCTTCCTTTCTCTCTTTTGTCTGCCTTCCTTTCTTTTCCTCTCTTTCTGTCTCTCTGTGTCTCTGTCTCTCTGTCTCTGTCTGTGTCTCTGTCTCTCTCTCTCTCTCTCTCTCTCTCTCTGCATCTGGAAGCCAGAAGTCAACCTCTGGTGTCATTCCTCAGGAGCCATCCACCTTGTTTTCTGAGATAAGTTCTCTCACTAGGACCTGGGACTCACACAGGCCAGGCTGGCCACTGAGCCCCAGGATCCTTCTGTCCCTGCCTCAGTGTGCCATCACACCTAACTTTTTATGTGGGTTCTGGGATCGAAGTCAGGTTCTCATCTTAGCTCAGCAAGCATGTTACCAACTGAGCCAGGACCTCAGCTTCCTTGCATTTGTTTTCTGATCTTGCTGTAACAAGTCATCACAACTCAGTTATGGTAAAGCAACACATTTAATACCAGAACTCATTCCCCTGTTTTCAACAGTTCAGGGGTCTGATGAGGGTCTTTCTGGGCTCAGATCCAGGTGTTGGCAGGCTTGTCCTTTCTGGAAGGTTTTGAGACGACTGTAGTTCCTTGTCTTTTCTCTAACTTCTTGAACTGTCTGCATTCTTTGGCTCACAGCTCCCTTTCTCTGTCTTCAAAGCCAGTCACAGCTGGGGGAGTCCTCACCCTGCATTACTCTGCCCCACCCTTCCTTTTAAGGATTCGTGATTGCATTCATTTGACCAAGATAGTCCAGAATGATATCCTATTTCAGGGCCCTCAGTTTAATCACATCTGGAAAGTTCCTTTTGCCATGTAAGGTAATGGATCTACAGGTTCTACACATTAGAACATGGATATCCACGGGTGGCATTATTCTTCCTACCGCCCCAATCTTCTTTGTAGTCCTGGGTGGAATTCACGCCCTCATAACATGCTAAGCAAAGGCTCTCCCACACAGCCAGTTCCAGCCACCTCCCGTCCTTTAGTCTTTTCTAGTCACTTTCTTTTGATACCAAATCTGAGTTGTCAGAACTGAAATGTACCAAGACAAGATTGAGACGTATGAGAGTGGTGTGGAGGTAGCAATCACGTGAGTTTAGTCATTTGTCAGTTGCTGTTGTTGGGCACCTGTGTAGACCAAGCCCTGTGCAGGTACAAGTGACACAGGCATCTTCCTTTTCCTCAAGTGTCTTGTTACTTAGGTGACAAAAATAAATAAAAATTCACAAGGCAATTATCAGAACAAAATGGCTGTTACCCTGTGAAGTGCTGGTATTCAGTTCAGTATAGTCCCAGTGCTTTCAGTTGGGGGCACTTCCCAAGTCTTGACTCTCAGGTGGGACTTTGAAGTGTTGACATGTAAGGCTGGTCAGTTGAGGAAGAGAAGCATGCCATAAGTTTGGGAATGGAATGAATTGATGTTTGTGGAGAATGCTGAGAAGACACTGGAGAGAGCAATTTATTAACTAGTATTTATTAAACATTTACAATATTTATTATTAAATATTTATAATATTTATTACATTTATATCATTATCCCAAGTCAAACAAATGAAGTGTTCTTTGACTCCCTTTTTCTCCTACCCCCTTCACTCTGCGCACTTGATGGAAGTTTGGTGAGCCTTATTTTCCCTGGTGGTGTCCTTCTTTCTTTTGTTTTCTACTATCTTTAGCATCTTCCTAGCTCCATGAGGTCACATTACTTGGAACTAGTATATAGTTTGGGTTGTTAAGGGCATATTTCCAAAGATTTGTAGACTGTTCTTATTCATGTCAACCTGGTGTTTGATGGTCAGATTCAGCTGATCTTAAAATTCTAACTTTTGTATTCCTGAAAGAGTGGCAGCGTTCTATTAGGGTAATTTGAAATTCCACTTCAGAATGAGCAGCTTTACAAATTAGAAGATTAGATAATTATCATAAACATCCATATGCATGAAAATACTTTAAAATCCACAGCTTTGGGGACTGGAGAGATGGCTCAGCCATTAAGAGCACTGACTGCTCTTGCAGAGGACCCCAGTTTGATTCCGAAACCGAAATGGCAGCTAACAACTGTAACTCCAGTTCCAGGGGGATCTGACACCCTCTTCTGACTTCCATGGGCACTGCACAAAACACAGGTGCACCTACTTACATGCAAGTATGCAATATACATACACATTAAATAAAAATAAATAAAATATTTTTCTAAAAATCCACAGCTTTACCAGGACACCTTGACTTTATTGTTCTTGCCTAAAGATGATTTATTGAGTTGGAAAGCATATATGGAGATATGTCATTTTTTGACATGTCCTGGTCAATTAAGTTGTGCCTGGAATAATTTTGATTAATTTACATATGATATATGAGTCCAAGCTAGAAATTGCAGAAGGAATTTTATCTAGTTCTTTTAAAGTCAAATTCTTTAAAGTCTCATTTTTCATCCAGTTAGAAAAGATTAAGTGGGAAATGGTTATTTGGAGATTTAAATTCTTTCACCCAATAAGGATTCTTGAGTATCGCCTTTGGGCTCAAGCATGGAGATACAGAAATAAACAGAATTCCATTTCTATCCTTAAAGTCGTCTTTCTGTATCTGGAAGATGGATTTACTGGAAGTATGTGTTGAGAAGTGGTTACGAGTATGGGCTTAGCTAGTTGTGATGATGCGTGTCTGAAACCCCAGCTCCTGGTAGTTTGAGTGTAGCCTGGATTACAAAGAGACATTGTCTAACAGTTTTTAAAAAAAAATTTTTTTAAATAAAACAGGAATATAGTTCTTGTGGTGGTGTGATGTCATATTATAGTGATGCCTGAATAAAGACAGCCTGATTCTTAGCATCCATTAAAATCAAAGTGGAACCCCTGAGAACTTATTCCTTCAGAATTCTCCCAAAACTGTGCTCTCAAATAAAGACCTTGCTCTCTCTTTATTGAAGCTGTACATCCAGCATCGTGTGGGAATAGAGGAACTGGAACTGGTCTTTGAAAGGATTATATCCCTTTTCACCCGTACTGACATAGAACAGCACACACAACCACAGACAGATATTACCAGTCTAATCCCACCTGCAGTTTACAACATAAATAGGATAATTTGATGCTTCCAAAAGATACCCACTGCTTGTAGAGCTTGATAGTCACAACACTCACACAAACACACACACACACACACACACACACACACACACACACATTATTCTGAGTCAAGGGCAAGGAAGGGTCATGAGGGATTAAGGCTATGTGTTTAGGTTATAAATGGAGCCCAAGGCCTATTAAGCTTGCTTACATTATTAAGAAGCTGAGATAGTAGTGAATGATCTCAAAACATAAAATTAACTTTGGTTACAAAGTTAGATAAAAGTCATTCCTTGGGTTCTTATGACAGAATTTCTGGGGATAAATCCCTACTCTTTAACATTTGCTGAGTGGTTTGTGCAGTTTCTTGGTTCCCTTATTCTGTGATAATAATCTCTTTCATCAAGTCAAATGTCTTTTTTTATAGTTTAAAATCTCTGAAATAGAATGCATCCTCATATTTGCTTTATTTAAATTGACAGTTTAATTGGAATGTAAAATAATGGTGCTTATTGAAATCAGTGGTGTCTTCTCGTCCATGAAATGAGGGTTGAATAAATTTTAATGACCGTAACACTCATTTACAGTTTTAGGAACATAATAAATACTCAGTAAATGTTAGCTATTATTACTAAAATTGATGATGAGTATGTGTTTTGATACACATACTCCGTTTAGTAAGAAGAGATAACTAACTTGATTAAGAAAATTATGAAGAGGTCTCTAGGAAGGTGCCATTTGAGTCTGCTTTTGAATCAAAGTATCAAGGTAGGGGATGGGGTCTGGGATGCTGGGCAGCTGGCTCAACATGGGCACAGTTACAAAAGCCAGATCTCTCATGCCACCTTGGACAAGAACAGGCAGTTCATTATGATTGGAACAGACGGGGTATGGAAGGAAGTATCGGGATACCAGGCACTGGATGTACAGCCAGCCACAGATGGGCGAAAAGCCTCATCTGTGACGTCATGGTCATCACTTTATTTGGATGATGATTGGGGGCTACTGAAAGCTTAAAGTAGAAGAGCATCCACCAGATTTGCATCTCATAAAATTTATTCCGTATGTTTTATTTCCCACCAATGTGAATGATGTATTAGGGGCAAAAAATAGGAGAGAGAGGCTAGTAAAGAATAACCAGTTACTAGCTTGAAGTTACCTGGATGAGAATTAGCACTTCAACTCAAGAATGTGTGGACACTGGGGATGAGTGGGTAGAGTGACAAAGGTGCAGGGAAGGTGGACTCCCCCAGACATTTGCCAGATTGAGGAATGAGGGGGAAGAGCTCCAGGAGTACATACAAATTTCTCACTTAGGTGCCTTTAAAAAGCTGTGATTTACATCCGTGCTTGGTGGCATGCACCTTTAATCCCAGCACTTGGTAGGCAGAGGCAGACAGATCTCTGTGAGATGGAGACCAGCCTGGTCTACATAGTGAGTTCCAGGCCAGCTGGGGCTACAGGGAGACCCTGTCTCAAAAAAGTAATGTAAATTGGAACTTTACTCTCTTCTTGACGCTTTATTATAAAGAGCTTCTTACTGCTATCATATGTTAATCTTTGCCACGGTGCTGTCAAGGCTATTTTCACCTTCATTTGCTGGACGACGTAACAGAAGGCCAGCTCTTGAGGGATGTGTGAGGCTACCAAGTAGCTCCGCTTATCTCTAACCATGAACAGAGGCCCTTCTTCAACAGCAAATTCACTTTCTGTTTAGCTCACTTTTCAACAGATACGTTATAAACTGATACCCAAAGAAGATAATCTTGTTGAAAAGTTTTTGGGCCTCCCACCAGGAATTAAAATTCAGTGATCATAATAAATGATTGCTTGTATTTGGGTTTTGTTTTTTTTTAATGTGTATGAATGTATTGCCTGCATATATGTAAATGCACCTATGTCGTGCAATGCCCATGGAAGTCAGAAGAGGGCTTTGAATTCCCCTGGAACTGGAGTTATGGATGGTTTTTAGCTGCCATGTGGGTGCTAGAACTCAAACCTGGGTCCTCTGCAAGAGCAGCGAGTGCTCTTCACTGCTGAGCCTGCCCCACACATTGTTTTTAATACTGTCACGCCCACTCAGGATTCTGAGTCTGCTAAGAACACACTCTGAAGGACACTTCTTGATCTTGGATTTCCATTTCATTTGTTGTCTTTGTTAACTTGACAGCTAGCATAATTTTAAAAATTAAAATTGAAAGAAAATGATAAATAACCTTGTTTAGCTATACCTTTAAAGATCCTGTCTCCAAATGTAGTCATACTCGTTGTCCCCTCTCCCCCTCCCCCCATCTCACTACGTAGCTCTAGCTGGCCTGGAACTTGCTATGTAGGCCAGACTGGCTTCAGACTCATAAAAATCCTCCTGCCTCTGTCTCCTGAGTGCTAAGATTAAAGGTGTATGCCACCATACCTGGCCACATGTATCTTTTGTAAATATTTCCCTCTCCCTTTTCAGTCTTTGAATCTAGGAAGAGGCTTAGTGCTAAATTTTAATCTTGGTTAGCCCCCGGTTAGATGTTTCTTAAAGATTTTTCAAGTTTGCTGTACCTGTAGGTAAGACACAGACTTTACATTTGCTAATGTGTTTTCTCCAATTAGATACTGATGGAAAGTTAAGCGTGAAATTTGGGGTTCTCTTCCAAGATGACAGATGCGCCAACCTCTTTGAAGCATTGGTAGGAACTCTGAAAGCTGCAAAACGAAGGAAGATTGTCACATACCCAGGAGAACTGCTTTTGCAAGGTGTTCATGATGATGTTGACATTGTATTGCTGCAAGATTAATGTAGCTTACATCTTTCAGGTATCTGGTAAACTGGGAATAATGACGTCAAAGGACAAACACGGGCTTCCTTAATGTATTTTTATAGAACTTTGTAAACAAGAGGGGACTCATTTTAGAAAGCCTCTCCTTTTTAAAAAAAAAAATAACTTGAAAGGAAACATATCACACTGTAAAATAAACAAAACCTATTATTTTTCTTAAGAATGTGATTGGGGCTGGGTGTGGTGGCGCACACCTTGAATCCCAGCACTCGGGTTGGGAGGGAGAGGCAGGCAGATCTCTGAGTTCAAGGCCAGCCTGGTTTCCATAGTGAATCCAGGCCAGCTGGGTCTACAGGGAGACCCTGTCTCAAAAAGACCAAAAAAAAAAAAAGAAAAAAGAAAAAAGAAAAAAAAAAGAATGTGATTGGGAAATGTAGGAAATGAGACTTTTTTGGGAGGGATGGGGGAGTGTTTGTTTCATAAATCATTCTTAGACAATTTCTATAGATATCTGACATTCTGTCAAAGCAAGAAGCAAACTGAAGACCAGCTGTCATTGTGTTTATGGAATAAAAACCTGTAACTGCCTTTAAATTGCCTAGTGGCTGCGTTTTGTTCAGGTGTTTATGAGCCTCTTCCAACTGAGTTCTTGCATTAAGATTAAGTCACTGTAGTAAAAAGTATCTTAATTTGAAAAAAATTTTTTTAAAACCACACATTAAACAGAAAGGAGTGGTTAGTGTTATTGTTGACTCCAATTAAAATACTTATTTGGGGGGGAGGGCACCGAACAGATGGGTCAGCAGCTAAGAGCATTTACTGCTCTTATAGAGGACCCAGGTTCAAGTCCCAGCACCCACATGGCAACTAACAGCTGTCCGTAACTCCAGTTCCAGGGGAACCTCCTTCTGATCTCCTTAGGCATTGCAGGACACCGGTGCACTTACACACATACATGCAATACACTCATACTCATAAAATAAAAATAATAAATAAAATATTTGAAAAAAATAAATAAATACTTATTTCTGGGGCTGGAGAGATGACTCAGCAGTTAAGTGCACTGGCTGCTCTTGCAGAGGACCCAAGTTTGGTTCCCAGCACCCACATGGTGGCTGACAATTATCCATAACTCCAGCTCCAGGGGATCCAGTGCTGTCTTCTGGCCCTCATGGGTATAGCACGCACATGGTGTACTTACATGCAGGCAGAACACTCATAAAATAAAAATAATAAAAATCAAAAAATAATAAGAAATAAATGTAATTGAAAAAATACTCATTCTGGGGCTGGAAGTGGCTCAGTGGTTAAGAGCACTGACTGCTCTTGCAGAGGACCTGGGTTCGATCCCCAGTACCCACATGGTAGCCAACAACTATCCAAAACTCCAGTTCCAGGGGAATCCAACACCTTCTTCTGACTCCACAGGCATTATACGATACAAGTGCACTTACACCCGTGCAGACAATACACTCACTCATACACATAAAATAAAAATAATAAATGTAAAATAAAAGTATTCTGAGCTGGGCATGGTGGACACAAAAATAAATGAATACTCATTCTGATGTGGATGTGAACTTAGCCATGAGGTAGGGACAGGCAAAAAATTGCACCTTTTTTAAATTAATTTTTAAAAAAATTTTTTAGAAGAAGCATTTTGTTACAGGTTTAACATACTCAATGATAATTTCCAGAGCAAAGATACATCTCTTTCAAAAGTGGCTATAAAATTTTTAGGTTCACAGTTGAATTAATACAGTTATACAATATTGAACTCCTTATAAACCCTGTAAGACATAAAATTGAATGAGTTTTTAACCTTTAAAAAAGATCTCCATTTCATTTTAAAATATACTGTTTCTTACAGAAATACTCATTATTTTTGCTAATAACGCTTAGATATTGACGCATGCGTCTCTAATCTGTATGTATCTGATTATTACTAGTCATGGTCGGTTGCACTCGGATCCTTGGCACCTGTGTATGGATATAAAGTCATCAGGTAGATTTCAGTGGTAAGGTTTATCACCTCTACTATTTCACATAACGTACATTTTTATGTTTCCTCCTCAATTATAACTCATTTTTTTAATCTGTTGATTTTTTTTGTGTGTATATCACACAGACTATCCCAAACAATCTTATTTGTCTATATACCCACTTCCCAGATGGCACCCTTCCATATGCCCCCCCCCCAATAGAGCCGTTTTACTCTGTCTTCCTTGCTACTGTCTGCAAAAATGCACCTTTTCACCTTCTGGTTGCGCTGGCACGATATGGGATCATTTTTGATTGCATGTTGCAGCCTGTAGTGCAGAATTGAAAATGATGGGGAATATCAAGCATGGGAAAAATGAGTGATACCCACGATGTCCAGAGTGGGCGTTATAGAGGAGGTAGAACTTGCATCAAGGAGTGATTGAAACTGATTGTTTAGAGGAAAGGAGACGGAATAAAGTACAGCAAAGGAGAGGGGCATGTGTTAGCAAGGCAGGTTCTCATGAGAGGCAAGGTCAGCCTGGTCAGGGAAGAGATGTTAGCAAGAGGTGATTCTGAGTAGAGAATTATGGTGGAAGCTCAGAAGCCAGGGTCAGGAGTCTGAAGTGGAATTAGAACCAGAAGCCAGGCATAGTGGCACATGCCTGTAGTCTGAACACTTGGAAATTGAGCCAGGAGGAGTTTGAGGCCAGCCTGGGCTACGTAGGGAAAACCTGTCTCAAAACAAAAGTTGGAACAAGGGCTTCCTATGAGGAATGTGATGTTTGGGAGTTTGTTTGTTTGTTTGTTTGTTTGTTGAGACAGGGTCTGACTATGTGACCTTGGCTGTTCTGAAACTTGCTTTGTAGACCAGGCTGGCTTTGAACTCACAGAGATACTCCTGTGTCTGCCTCCCAAATGCTAGAATTAAAGGTATGTGTAACCACAATTGGTGCATGATGTTTTTGTGGCATGTTTAGAGCAGATGCTTGGGACTAATGACTCAAGTTCATTGTAGGGTGAAGAAGCGGGCATACAAGCCAAGTAAGACATTATGTAAGAATCCTATGGAGAGGGGACTAAGGGAGGCGAAGGAGATGACTTTTAAGCATATCTTTATGAAAATTTAAACCCTAACAGTGATCTTTCTGCTGTGACAGGATCAAAACTCAAGCTAGTAATGGCTTACTGGGAGATTGACAGAATAACATTCCTCCTGATGACCACAATGCAGTTATATATTTTCTTTTAGATTAAGATGATCATTTTTTGATATCAACTTCATATATGGATAGTTATCTCTGTTGGATCATTCATATTTATAAATTTTGTTTTAGTTGAAGTCACACTGAAAGTAATCTTTCTTGGCCACAAATTGTGTTCTAGTTATTCACCTTAGTAATGAGTACCTTTGACTAATGAACAGGTAAGAATTTGAATTGTGAACCATTTTAGTTGAGGATGTGTGTAGCTCAGTGATAGAGCACTTGTCTGGGATGCACATGGCTCTGAGTTTGATCCTCAGCACAGAAAGAAGAGTTATGGGTAGTTGTACACAAACATTTACTCATCTATGCAACAAAACTATACAGCATCTACTATGTTCAAGTCACAGTGCAAGACATTAGGTAATAAAATACAGCCAAGCAAGACAAGCACAAATCAAATTCAATTCTAGTCCTCAAACGAAACAAGTCACCCATTATACTTTGTGATAAAGAAGCTTTGGGTTAATGGGAAGGGATAATGGCGTAGAATTGATTCATTGTGGGTGGACTAGAGACTTTCATAGGTGAAGTTTGGGGGCCTTAAAGTTTTAAAATACTGGGGCTGGAGAGATGGTTCAGAGGTTGAGAACACTGGTTGTTCTTGTAGAAGACCCAGGTTCAAATCCCAGCACCCACATGGCAGCTAACAAGTGTCTGTAACAAGGGATCTGACAGCCTCTTCTGACCTCCGCGGACATTTCATGACACGGGTGCACTTACCTACATTTAGGCAATACACACACACACATAAAATAGAAATAACAAATAGAATTTTTAAAAAAGGTTTTAAAATATTAAGGAAGCGTTTTAGGTGTAGAGTCACTACATAAAAAAGCATCAGTATTAAGTTACTTGAGGCAACGGAGGAAAGAAGGGTCTCAAAATCTGTCCTGGAATGGAAGCCCTGGGGCATTACTTTGAATATTTAAGTTATAATAATTCTAAGTGTATGTCTTAATAGTGGATTACAAAGAAATGTTAAAAAACTTAAAAATAATTTGATAAGCACCACTAATTATGTAATAACTTTAATTTTCAAGTTCTATAACAGTACTATTTTGCATATTGAAATTATATGACAATCTATAATTATAGCTTGTCATTATAGTGAGTCGCTATTAATTGAATACTAAGTAAGGTTACCACTTTTGCATATGCAAAATTTTCTTCTGTTCCTATCATGGAAGATTCAAGGACCCCTTAGTGTCCTGGAGTCATAATTTTTAAAATAAATTATACAAATGCTAATTTGAGGGATTTCATTGGACACTGACTTCCCAGGTTTCCCGATATCTGAGCTGCTTCTCTGGGACCAGACAATATGGGGAGAAAGGCTCCTGAGGTGACAGACAAAATATAAGCTCATGTGATATCACAGGAGCAAGCTGGCTTCGTTGTACAGGGTAAGGTACTGGGCTCATTAGCTTACAGTTCTCTGTCTAGAAAAAAGCCAAAGGACATGCATGCACCTGTAATTTACTTATTGGCAAACACTCTTGGGGTTTCTTCTTCCTTAAAAAATGTTCTAAACAAGCCAGGCGTGGTGGCGCATGCCTTTTAATCCCAGCACTCAGGAGGCAGAGGCAGGCAGATCTCTGTGAGTTCAAGGCCAGCCTGGTCTACATAGTGAGTTCCAGGACAGCTGGGGCTACAGGGACACCCTGTCTCAAAAAGACTAAAAAAAAAAAAAAAATTATAAACAATCCTTCAAAGAAAACCAGCTCCTTAGGAGGCTTTTATGGTGAGAAACCAGAAACAAATTTGCTCTTTTGGAAGTTGGTACTATATGAAAACCCATCATCTCCTGCAGTTCCTGTTTATCTTTAGAAGCCTCAACAAAAAGTTCCTTAAAATATTTGTTTTTCTTATAGTTTCCTTTGAGTTACTGTTTAGTCAGGTAGTTTTTCTTAGAAGAAATGAAAACCCAGTTAGCTATGTAAGAGGGAGGCTAACCGTCAGGGTACACACGGCGTTTAAGAATATAAAGGACCTTGCTGAAATGCAAGAGAGAGAGAAATGA